CTTCTAAAATCTTGCTTGGTATAACAGTATCAGGTTTGAATGATTCAAATGATTCGGTAATACTACAACAGAGATTAGTTAATGGGACGTGACGAACTTTACCTAGTTTTGAATTTTTTGGTAATACACAATCAGTATCTGTATGATTAACAATGTATAATGTTGTTCGGTGATGGTAAATATTCAATAAGCTATTCGGGATTAGTATTGAAAGATCTTCTTGTAGTTGTTGTCGTGGACGAAATATAACTGTGTCTGCATTTGAAATCGATGAACAAATAGCGTCAACTGGTTGTACTGTTCGTGATTTAATAGTAACATCATGTACTAATCGAATGTTGTATTGTTGACATGTATCAACACTATTATCGTCATATGTTGGTATATATTGAATGGATCTTGGACCATTATCAGTCATGATGGTAATACATTGATCTTTACAATTAAGAATCGCTTGGTGTTTCTTAATCCATGTTTGTCCTAAAAGTAAATCGATGTTGGTTTGACGTGATACATAGATTATTTCATCAGATAAGTTTTTATCAAAGTCAATTGTTAATATAACATAACCAGATATGATAACTTGCGTGCCATTCATAGCTTGAAAATCTTTATTAGTCGGATGTATAATAGGTTGTGGAGAAATTTTGGCCAAAGCTTCTGGACTAATAAACGAATCATCAGAGCCCGAATCAATCATTGTTTTCATAAGATAGTTATTAACTAATACATTGATACATGATGATGCAAACGTTTTGGTTGATGTTGTTGGCGAGAAGTTTTTCAAATCAGTTAATTTCAAATGACAATCTTGCTCCGTATGATTATCCGTAAAACATTTATTAGATTTAGATTTTAATGATGATTGAAGATGTTGTGGTGGTTTTAATGTATTGCTTTGGAGAGCACGCCCATCACTACGTGACTCCTGACCTAGTTTAAATGTTTTTTTGATTTAAAGCAGTCTGTGACCTTGTGTCCAAATTTGCCACAATTATAACATTGAATCGGTCGGTGTTGTTGTTGAAGGCGCTGTTGATTATAATTGAGTGACGGGTGCGATGGTGGACGATAGTTTTGTAATTAATTATTATAAAATTGATTATTATTGTATCGATCAAATTGTTGAATAAAAGGTGTATTTAGTTGAAAGTTATTGGTTCGTAGAGATGTTGTTTGTAATGTTGGTGTTGCTCTTGCTATTGGTAATGGAGCATTCTCATCTATACTTATAACATGTTGTTCGAAATTTGTCCGTTTCTGACGTTCTTCAGTTTTTTGCAATACTTCTAATAATTCTTTTGATGTTGAATATTCTCTAATTAATAATTGATCTTGAATACTATCCGGCAGACCACGAATTATATAATCAATACGATGACGATCTGAAACTGGATATTCTTCCTCTAATAAATCACATTTTCTCATAATATCAGAATAATACTGACGCATAAGTTCATTATCATGATGACGTCGATTTCGAATATCATCTTCCAATTCAATACGTGACGGATTCTTCTTTCCTTCGAATCGGCTAATTCGTTTTCGTTTAAATTCATTCCAATCTAATTTTTGACGACGAATAAATTCTAACCATTTATCGTCAATGTTCGATAATAATTTTAATGTGCGGTAACATTTATCAGTATCTGTAATGAAGGCTTTATCGTATATACGTTCAATTTCTTCTAACCATAAATTGATTGATTGTGATTCGTCACCTGAAAAATTTGGTAATGTTTTTAAATCTTCCAAAACCAGGGCATGATGTACTTTCATCGCTAGAGAATCCGATGAAGATGTATATTGTTGTGGTGTCATGCAGGAACTAACTAATGTATTAACAAGTGGATCCGTTAAATCTTGTGTAGTCGTTATTAATGAATATTGATCGATCATTAATTTTTGAAAGGATTTCCAGTTGGTCATCGTTAATATAAACAAACTGGGCAGCATGATCTAATAGATAATATTTAGCTTTATTTGCCCAACTACTTTCATCATATTTTAAATCAATAAAGACACTTTTGATAGCCGTCAGCCATGCGTATATATTAGTTTT